TCCTAAGACCTAATGAGTTTGCGAGACAACGAACCACTAAGGACGCATTTAAAAACGGGCACAGCAACCAAGAGCCTGACTACAGAGAAAGAACCATGACCAGGCTGCGTAGTATTGCGATCTTTCCAGGCAGGTGTCAGTAGCAGGAGGAATTCACGTGGAAGGACGTTCATCCGAATGTTCAGCACAGATTTACCGAACCTAAGGCAAATAAACTCAAATAGGAAGAAGCACGTAATTCGAGAGGCCAGATTAAGTTATTGCAGGTCGCGTTAAAAGTCAAGCATGGAGCTCTGGATTACAGCAATACGAGTTAGCTGCTCAGCTAATGGTGATGAATTCGCCTGGTGAGATATCGGAGCCACTTTCATAGCGAGAATAACAAATTAGAAGTAGCAGGGTTTGCGTACGCCATGGAAAACAAAATGAGGTCCCAAGTGCATTAATACTCTTTGGGAAATTTAAATAAATCTCGGATATAGCTTCTGCCTAAATTGCAAGACATCATGCAATCTCATTTTGGTAGGCTAGTTGACAGAAAAATAACAGTAAACGGCATTCTAAACAAAAATTCTGAAAAATACCACTGCCCCAACAGTGAACATTCGTGGAGACTTATGTTATGCAACCTCGGCAGGATTGCAACCATCTGAAAACACAGCACAAAGTAACTACCCTACAGGCTGATATATTCGGACACAACTTGACCAGGACCAATGTCAAGTGCACATGACCTAGGATTAAAAAACATACTTTTGATACGTTCTCCAAACACAACACCAGTTTCTAAAGGTGATTTTTAGTTAATAACCAAAAATATCCAAGTCCACGCCAGTGGTTGGAATTTCAAAAATACCTTCGAGGTAGCTTCAGACTGTTTTGATGTCGGTGATGTCTTCGAATCAGTGTTGTTTGGTGCATTCTTGTCGGGAGCGTCATCAAAGAGATTTTTGAGGCCTACATCCTCCTCTTCACTGTTCGACGACGAGGCTTCTCTGTCTGAATCCTCACTGTCATGGGAGACATCACTACTTGCGGAAGCGGAGGAATCGCTGGAACTTCCAGAGGAGTCACTGTCGCTCTCTTCGTCTTCTTTTGGTCGCTTCTCGTCTGCCGACGGCGGGGCGCCTTCCTCCACCTCAGTCGGGGTCTGTCCCAAACCAGCCGGATCAAGACCATAACGAGCCAGTAGGTCTTCCAGGGGCATTTCAGCTTCGGCTTCAAGGGCATTAACCTCCTGTGTCGCGTTCTGAGATGGTCCAGCATCCGAGTCCTCGGCAGCAACAGTAGCTCGGACGGCAGCCTCGTGAGCCTCCTGCTCGGCCACAGTAGCTTCGTCGTCAGTGGAACTGTCATTCGGATCGGGTACAAAAGCTGTGTCCTTCTCTGGTTTCGCAGACTCTGTCACTGATTCTACTTTAATCTGGGTAATAGAAGCATAACCACGAAGGTTAGTCATGAGTGAACGAGGTGATGTAACAGACGAAGAAAGAGGAAACTGCACAGTAATTGTTAATTGCATTTAGAAAAAGGGGAAGAAATCGAAGGCAGTGACTCAGTCTTGTTGGTACAGCTTGACATGTCCTTGAGGAAAGAGGGACGCAGTGATAAGCCACTTAATTAAGCTGACCACACGAGGGCCTCGCTTGTATCAAGATGAGACCGAGTCGACCAGTTTTTAAAGAGTCAGTAACGCGCGACCTAAACCTACGCGAGTGACACGACCTTTTATGACGGAACTTGGTGTACCAGCGTGTAGGTAGTAATCAACAACGTGCAGTCTTTGAGGCAAAAAACGCACTGAAATAATTGGACACTTTCAATGGTATTTTACTCAACCTGTGAAAAACCCTTCGCGCACGATAGTCATCAGTACATACCTCATAAACCATGTTGAGTAGAATAAGAAAGGGAAATATAAAGGGGGCAGTGCACCTGACGCCCCATTCAGGTCAATCGAATAGTGCCCGATAAAATGGAACCAAAGCAACGGTTCTTGGCGGTGCGTAGCGAGTAGAAAGCTGTGAATTATGTAGTATCTATATCAAATTATTTAGACGTGCGAGGAAACTAAGAAAATGTGGACCAACATGACGTTCGCCACCCGAGGGACTAGGAGTAGCTGCATAGCTAGGTGATTCTGTCTGCGCTAATTAGTGTCTAGACCTTCAATAAAGAAAACGAGCGATGACACATTCTTCTCTGCGGGTTTTCGGGTGGCATACTCGGAAGGATTATTAGTTAGCTGAGCCACCGCATTGACAGGTGCGAAGCCGGACAAACCTAGGCATGGCCTAAGGCCGGGAAGTTCATATGAAGAAAGCGATTA